AAATAGAAACAAATCTGTCAACTTGGTGAGATAAATAGATGTATAATATGCCTAAAAAGATGTTAAAAATATCAAAATGTATCCTTATTAAATTAGTTGTAAATATACATACGAAACATGTATATTAAATAAAAGCGACTTCAAAGATAAAAGCCGCTGTATAATTTGCAATTTCGCTAAATTGTACGCTACAAATGCAAAATCGGCATATTACGCTTCCAGGCGAGTAATTTGCATATTTGCGATAAACCAAGCTCGTTAAATCACGTCGCTACATTGAGTGGAGATATTAGCGCACTTCTTCCATCATTCTAAAGTGATTTGCTGAGATACGTCGAGGTTACCCACAAAAGATTGCATTCGTGTCACGCAAGCTGCAACAGGTGTCAGCGCAAATATATCGCGCTCATGCGAGCACGGTAATTATCCTGTAGAGAGCGCTTCGCCATGCGTATGTATGCGTAATTTCACGGAAAGGTCTAATAGTCACGCTATTAATATAATCGCAATAAATAAAATATAGATAAAATTAATTTAATCGTTACACAAGTTTTCCAATTACATTACACAAAATAACTTCTCAATCTTTCAATATATTTAATAACGTCTGGGCATAAATTCCTATTTGGCGATTACATGCGCATATCTTAATTAAATATTACGTAGAGAAAACAGTTTCCCGATCGCGCAGATAAGATCGATGGCGCGATCGATTCGATCAATCTGAATTCAATCGACTTCGGGCCGGCTCGCCTAAATACCGCGAACACGCAACGCGCCAGCTGGTAACTGCGATATCCAATATCGTTATTATCCGCGTTGCAAAAATATTCGTAATAAAGTATCCCCGCGGTATCAATCTACAATAAATTATCGCGGTGTGTACGAGTGCCGTACCGCGCCCTGTTCTAACGCTGTATTTACGTACACGCGGGCGGTCATTATTCGATCAGCAATTAGTAGCCACGCGTGATCGATGGCCGCAACTCCGAGAATTCTCATTATCTCGATTCTTCTCACGTTCGCCACGGTATTGTCCACCGGCCGCAATCAAATGCATACGTTTAATGAAGCCTCCTATCATAAAGTTGATCGCGATATCGGCCGCATCGATTCGCTGACATTTACGAGAAAATGAAGAAAAACACGGGGGAGGGAAAAAAAAAAGAAAACGAAGAGTGTTAAATCGATTTCTACGATTCTCCACCTTGCGCGATCACAACACCTGCAACAGCCCGGAGAAGAGAGGACGCTCCAATCAACGATATGCCACACCGATTATGGATATTAACCGTAGTGTATAATTAACAATTCCGCTGCCGAGACATCGACGCTCGCGTCGCTCTTCGCGCCTCACCACCGGCGGCGGATCGCAGGTGCAAAATTCTTCGCGGTGGCATCGCACCCAAGGTCAAACGGGCTGCACTCCCGTGTGCGCGCGCTCCCGCTACCGGCGACCCGCGATCGCAGCCAGATATCGCTGGTGATTGCGAAAGCATTATCTTAATTGCCGGCCAGGAAGCGGCGGGCGGGGTGAAAAGGGCGCGATCGTCCAGGAAGAACGGATAGGTTCGGCGCGCGCGATCCGATCGATGACAAGATCGGAGGCACGAGCGATCACCGTGACTCGCTTTAATTACCATTGTTAAAGGGTGAGGCGGGGTGAGAGAAGGGGAAGCGGGGTGGGGAGGAGAGGGGGGGACCCGTGGAGGCTCTCGCGATGGGAGTCTCTCGTGCCGGGACCACCGACCTCACAGTATGCCAGCTATGTCTCCCCCCCCGAGCAATGACGCCGGCTCGTTAAGACTCGAAACGCCGACCCCGGCAACGGTCAGACACGATCTGTACAGATAATTAAAAGCCGAATCTTCGATTACGCTCCGCGTGGAACGTTACGTGTCGCCGCTTACGTAAGCATGTTGCAAGGTGGCACGCACTCGCCGACCTTAACCCTTGACTGCGCCGAGATCAGCTCCGCTATGCTGCTCGATTGCTGCGTCGTGCCGCTCAGGTAGAAAGGCTCCCCCGATCGCTTATTACGAGAGGAATAATTTTACGATGTAAAAAGTATTTACTTCCACATTGATACGTTATTTTTATCCATCGCTGCATTCACTCTCGTAGCAATATTTTTGCGCATAACTGCACTTGCTGTAATGAAAATCAAAAGTAAATCTTATGCGAATATTCGAATCGTTGAATTTCGCCTGTAATTGAGAAATAATGAAGAGATCTAAGGAATGCAGGATGCGCGTCCTACAAGCTAAAACGGGATTTTAACGACACATGTATGTCATACTGCATACTAATGTCGGCATATTCATCATTTTAGAACGAGCGGCGTCACACAGAGCTGAGAAAGTAATTAATTTCGACGCTGATTAATTCCTAGAAATTGTTAGTTTCTCTCGGAGAGGTCGGATGGGTGAACACCCATTTCCTCACCTGGCGATCACCTAACGACAGGTATCCGATTTTACCCGTTTGGAAAGAGCCTCACATTTCCGTAATCTTTTTTTATAATTATCTCGAGCGACAGGTGGCGACCGCGTGATATGTTGAAAAATACTTTCCGCTTTTTTTCATTTTATTTATTATAGAATATAGAACGTATATTTTACGTAGAAATTTAATACATAAATAAATACCGATATCCAAAAAATAAAGAATGCAAGAATAGTTTAATATTAATTTCACAGAACATTAACTTCTCTCATACGAAGTGTGTCCCAAATTAATGAGAATGATTTTCGAAAAAATCCTTTTCCAACGATTCCATACTTTGAAGGAGATCAAGTCTAATTGTTTGTTTTCGATAAAAGGATTTCTTTAAAAATCATTCTGCCTACTTTTGGGACACACTTCGTATAATGCAGATATAATGCGGAATTATCTTCAAGCTTTTTCTATAATGGCGTGAATGCAGAATGGGTTTCTCCTTTGAGAAAATGGAGCCATATGGGTCTCGAGAAACCCATCAGACGAAAGGATTTGTTCATGCCCCTTGTGCACTTCCGTAATTATCCCCGCTCGTAATTCTCTCGGAAAGCAGAGGTGTGCGTCATTATCCGCGATTTCGCCGGTTTCTCGCCTCCGATGATGACGGTACGCCGGGACGATCGTCAACCGAATCGAGGTTCACACGTAGCGGTTTGTGACCGAAGGACCACCCACCAATGGGTGTCAGCAGTGCCACACCTTGGATAATAACGCGCGGCGAATTGGTCGAGTTTGCTGATTTCCAACTGATGACTGGTTAGCATAATAACGACTGGTGACCATCGGAGGATCACATCCTGTCTGTCTGTGTGTCTGGTCTTGCGTTCTTTTTTCTGCATTTTTGTTTCGTTTCCCGATTTTTAATTTGCTAATAATATATACATATTAATGCGTTTTCTCGTAAAATCATTTGTCAAACTAGAGATTATTATTGAAATGTAGAAGGACAAGGAACTGCACACTTTTCTAGAAACAGTTTGGAACGCGTCTGTTTCGCGCCTCTATGAATACAAGAGATCTTTGCGTAACACATTTTTTGTTGCCACGACAAATTTGACCAACTAAAGCACCGTGAAAGTTGAAAGCTGGAATTAAGTTAGAATTAAAAGATGAAGATTTTTCAAACTTTTAAATAATTTTTCTACAATTGCTGCAAATAAAACAACGTCAATATGCAAGAATCTGTGGATAAAAAAACAATTCAAAGTTTAAAGTGTTGAAATTGATAAAATCTGTAAGGAGGAACCAAGTTATTTCACATTGACGGCCCATTCTCTCGAAGTCTCACGAATTCTCCCGCCAGGGACCCCCTTCGTGAGGCCTCCGCGATAACATCTCACAGCTCGGGCCCCGAAACGACCGTTAAGGGATCATTAAGGCCGGCGTGAAGAGCGCGATAACGGCGATTCTTACGCGCGAGTAAATTCATACCCCGGTCAATTTAGATACAAGGCACAGGGGACCGTGAAGCCCGATATAAGTCTCTCTTCGTAACCTTAACAACTTACGGGCTGAAATATCGTGCACGCATTGCAGTTTTCGCGAGGGAATCATCGAACCGAGGTTCGAGAGGCCCGCGGAACGGCAGGTGGAATCTGCCAGGTCTCACCCGGGAGCCATATGTTGTACACGTCACCTTAAGGCCTGAAATAACGCTCAGGTAACAGGTTGCTGCTGCCACGGAACAGAGATTGTTTTGTCCGCGGCCTTAAAGGTCCTCCGCGGCTAATGAGCCATTCTGCCGGCATATTGGCCCGATGCCTCGCGCCGCTTTTGATCGCCGCTACTGAAATATAAGGCTCATTCGTTACTCGTACGGTGACTTGAGTATTTTAAGCTTCTAAGCAGCCCACCAGCGTGAGATTTCACATAATTATAGGTCTTTTCGGCTTTCCAGCAATTCCAGGATTACGTGTGAAAAATGAGAATAAAATGTGCTGTTGGTAGTTCATTAATAACTCATTTAAATGATTAAAGATCTAATTAAAAATAAATTGAAATATAAAAACAATACTTAAAAAAAATTGATATGTATATATTTGAATAAATATATTCGAACCACGAAATAGATCACGTCTGAAAATTTCTCGAAGAACCACCGAACCGCATCGCATTTAGATCAGCTGAGATATGAAGTAACGAATAGCTTTTGTATCGAGGTTACTTCGAATCAATACAGTTGGTCCTTTCATTTCATTATTTGTCTTTCACGTTTTTCAATCGACCATCTTTTTAAATCGGTTTGTGTTGATTTCGATCTCTAGTTGTCAGAGGAACGGAACGAATGATAATTGAATGATAATGATGACTGTGCGAATAAATTTGTTTTTACAAATATTTTAGTTTCTCTTAAACTTTTGTCAATTAGCGATAATAAAGTTCGAAAGAAATGTGACATATCAATAATTTAAGCACAATTGAATATATATCACGTGGATAATTAATTAAGGACCGTACATCGTATTGCAACATACATTCGATACATATTTATTTGGCTTCAGATCCTTCCAGTTCGGCTGAGAAAATTTCACGAGGGCGACGACTACATAATTCGTGCACGGATCGCCGCATCATCGACGATCACGCTTCTCGAGGAAGAAACGCACGGGCACTAACACACCTGGTGTAACCGGCAGCGGCGATCCTCGCTGACACAATGGGACACGTACCACCACGGAGTAAAGGGTTGCAAGAAGACGAGAGTCTTCCGGGAAGCGATGAAAGACTCTCGCTTGTTGGTCAGGTGTGCTGTACATTGCTGAAGGAACGACCAGTTTTATACGGGGTCAGCCTGGCTCTTCAGCAACCGTGTCAGAGGTCGTGAGATCGCTATTGCTCGAAATCTCATGCAGAAATATTTAGATTACACGCTGCATTACTTTTTTTTTGTGTAACCGTTTAAGCGCCACAGAAAGGGGATCATATAAAATGAATGCAAATTAAAAATTGAGAGAAGTATAAGAGCAACAGTATTTCTATCGAGTATGATGTAAGATATATGGAATCTGCCGTTCTTACCCATTGAAAAATGAAATAAATAAAATTACGGCAAGAAGTGTGACGTTTTGATTTCGCAAGAATAAAGTCTCAACACGATACAAAAACAAGTCAACACACCAATTGACAGCTCTTGTTATTGCTAACCCGGACATAATTTCGATGACCAAAATCGTCAATCTGCAGGTTTGACGAAGAGAGTTTTTGTCGGCGACGGCCGGCCTCGACCCCCTTCGCTTTGTGTCCCAAAAAATCTCATAGCTGGGTTCCCATTCTTGACGAGACCCGAACACGAAGTTGCGACCTTTTGTCGCCGCGCGGCCGCTTTTCTCTCGCGAAAGTCTTTGCACAGTGCAAAGGCTCTCGATGTGCCATATACAAACGAATAATGGAACCTTTTATCCCGGCATTTTGTGTATGTGTATATCCGTTCCCGACGCACCTGTTCGATCGGACCGGTCGCCATAAAAGCCCAGCGGCCAAGGTAGCGTTTGCTTCCACACTTTCTTGCTTGCTTGCGCGTTCCTCTGCGTATACACAGTGCGGTCTGCGAGGGCCGGCACTCGAAAATGGCGCGTGCACCTGTCGTGCCGAGCGAAAGGACGCCGTTCAATGGGTCGTCGTGCATAATTATAGTTATAACGGTGGTTAACTGCACAATAGAGACCATAAGTATAAATCCGCAGATTTGAATATCGGCGAATTCTGACACGTCATTATAACTGCAATTCGCGATTAATAATTCTCTCTCTACACTCCAGATTATTATCACTCAAGAAACGATGAATTGAGACTAGCCATTATATCCATTGTGTCTGAACAAGATATTGTACGATTAAACGACAAGTCAAATGAAACACATGTTGCGCATGCACATCAGTCATCCTGAAATGTCGATTAAATGCGTATTTAGCTCGCAGTTCGACCCATATATTACCGATGCGACAGTATCACGAAGGGGGCGAACGAGATCGCGGCACGATCTCGGGCACCCATATGGGCGAATCGGCCGAACAAAAAGCTCGATTGGTGCCACCACGGCTGATTGAATCGGCGGTGCGTGCGCGAGAGGCGCGTGGGACTTTAATACGCGGTGCAGGTAGCCCGTTTTGCCCGGGCGAAATGAATTGAATCGCATTGCCAGCGCGCGCGTTTGCTCGCCATATGTTGTTTGCTCCGCTAAAAGAGCTTTGTGCCGGCGTTACACGCCGTGGACGTATGAATGAACACGCGACGGAGAGAGATACACGCGCGCGAGCGCGACGCCGAACGGTCTCTCGATTCTTCATTGTGCGAAGAAATTGGATAACCTGCCAGATAATCCGCGCGCATTCACGCCGACGCGAGCCAACGCGTATATCGATTAACTCTTGCACGACGTGGTATGTTGCAGGCGAGCTCTAACTGTCATAACCGGAAGAGGCGGTTAAATGCGACTGAATGCGAGATTAACGTCACAAAAGCTTTGCTGAATATTATACATTCACTGCCGCGGAAATACAGCTGCTGTACAAATGCATTTATTATTTCGTTTATGCTTGAACTGTAATTATTATTTTAATTACTGCAATTATCATAATAATCACTGCAAATACATAAAAGTTTTTCTATTATGTCGATTCATCTCAAAGAGCTTGTAATAATTTTCACCGGACATACTAGGCGATAGCCGCAAGGCTGATTCGAAAAGCATTTCTTCGTACAAACATTCGGCGTTCTAAAAGATTGATAAGTTTCGCTTCGATAAGTCGATGAAAGGAGTTCCCTGCTCGCGATTGACCCAGACCACCCAGATAACAATGAATAAACGACGGCACTCGAAAGATATACAACACACGAAGTGCGGAAAGGATTCTTTTACAATCGCGAACATTGTTCTCAGTGGTGCAAATTGCGCAAGCGACAATAGGCGCGATTATGAGAGTGTGTCAATGAATGCGGTATAAATATTGAGGCTTGTCGAAAACGCCGATAGATTTATTCGCCGCGGTCTCGTAATTGTTGCCACTTTTATGCGTTATTACATCGACGCGTATATACTCGCGTGCAACGAAATGCTCGGCCGGTGCGTCAAACCTCGAATCGAATCCGATCGATTCGTTTCGAGCCGAGCACGAACATCGACAATTACTTTTATCGATGAGGAACCCCGAGGCCTCTGACGAACGACCGGCTTCGAACGTTCGCTAGGAGAGATTAAGAGCGCCGTGTATCTCGTCGAAAGACAAAGCGTGTGATTATGCGAGTCTCCGAGTATCAATCGTTATCGAAATAACGAGTTTTCAACACGTGATAGATTAATGCCCATTTCCACCAATGTAGATTAACTTTAATCTCGGTTCAACTTACTCGTCATCTTTTTTTTTACTTCTAAGAATTAGAAAAAGATGAAGAATAAGTTAAACCGAGATTAAAGTTAATCTACGTTGGTGGAACTGATAATTCGGATAAAGCTATATAAACTTTTTGCAGAATGTTTTGTTATAATTGATTATAGATAAAAAATAGTAAATTCAATATTAATAAAGTAAAATGGTGTTCGCGAGAACTTTGAAAAAAAAAATAATACTCAATCATGCTTAATAGTTTCTTAAGATTTTTGCAATTAAGTTGTGAATAATTATGTTACAGGACACACAAATGCAGGAAACGGAGGGTCAAGGATAATTAATATGTCTGACATATATTTTAAAATCCACGTAATTTATTTCGTATAAAATATCTCTATATATAAGCGATATCTGTATTTTGTAGTAATTTACTTTCTTTACAAAACTAGAAATAGTGGTACTCGCCTGAGCCGCGCTGCAAATTACACGCACGATAAAAAGTAAAAGTACGCAGCGACGACTTGTTTATAAAATCTACCTTCCTCCTCTTATAATCTTTTTCGATAATAATCTTAGCGAGTCTTTTGTTCCTCTGCGTATAATACAATGACTAGTTTGTTCGAGAAACTTACAGTAGTTTGCAAAACGCAACGTACAGAAAACGATAATGCGGAGCCAAGATCTTTTCTTCTCATTCAATGAGTTAAATATTTTCATTTCCTCTTGTCGCTTCAGCTCCGTGTCTGATGCAAACAAGTTACAAAACTTGTATTGTGCGTGTTTTACTCGCTAAACCTTAAGCGTAAACTATGTACAGTCCGCATATTAATGCGTGCGAGCGCGCGTAGGTGACGATAACATAGCGTCTTCGCGAATGGCATTGGTGCATCGCAGCGTGACAATTTTTCTTGATTTTTTTATCTTCTAAATTCAGCCAATTACTATTTTCGAAATACATGTTCTTATCAAAAATATATATTATTTAATTGTACTTTGTTGTTTCAAACACGCATCCAGCAAATCGGCGCAGCGATAAATAAGTGCCATTGATTATCGAATCGCGATGATCAATGATGCTCGAATGCGCTCGCACGCCAAAAAAAAGAAACGAAACTCAGGAAAAAAAAAAGGAAAACGTGCAATCGTCCTAATTTTCATCATCTTGATTGTTGTTTTGTGTGCTCGAGTGCAATGGAACAAATAAAAAAAAGAAATGGCGTGAAATGAAAAAGGAATGGCACAATAGTTTCACGGGACCGCATCACGCGGTAATCGAGCGGCTCTTTATTTCCGATATTCTCCACGTCCGATATTCTCGGAGCGACGTGACCGATCTCTCGGAAGGACGAAATCATCTCTAAGTACTATTATCGTCAGCACGCTCATACAATGAGTCACAAAATTATTCATACCTCAATTGCTGACTTCAAACACAAATGATATTGTTTTTAAACAAATTACTGCATCTTTTATCGATAAAATATATAATAAATATTTTCATTATCTATACATATTGTGGATCATACCAAGTGGAATATATTACAAATATGAATAAAATTTTCGAAGAATTAAAATAAACTTTTTTTATTTGATTAAAATACGTATTAATCAAGATTTAAAATCAACAACTGGAAAGATTTTGAAAGTATTTATGACTCGCTATATGTCGTTTCTCTCGTATATCAGTATTTACACCGAAGGATAATAAACAAACGAAATCAATCAACTCTCACGAAACTTTTCGAAACACCCAATCGACAATTTCTTAGTGACGCGCGTTTAATATGATTCTATCATAGATTTGTTAAACCTTTCGCTATAGTTTTCTGTAATCAATTTTTTCTGGTATTAATTAATCGAACAAAATATATTTTTGCCTGAAATAGAAAAACTTTAATTTTGCAAAATATTTTTATTCGTGAAAACTTTAGTTTGAAGTCTACTTTCGTAAAAGAATATAGTTTGACAGCGAAACGATTAATCGAGGAGCTAATACTCCGCAAGCGGTTCACTAAGATACCGGACTTCACTCTCGTTTGTACTGCATTCTAAGGCACTTGGAAACCGCGGAATAAAAACCAGAGACGTACGTTCGCCCGCGATCACACAAACGCGAAACTTCAACAAGGATAGGCGACTGTCACCGACACGCCCGGGCAGCCGCCCTCTTGATGCTTTGTAAGCAACGACATCCTGCTGAACGTCTTGCTGCACCTGTCGCAGGAATACTTTTTCACGTCGCTGTGAGTCTGCAGGTGGGCCCTCAGGTTACTCCTGTCGGCGAACGCGCGATTACAATGCTGACAACTGAACGGCTTCTCGCCGGTGTGCGTCCGGATGTGACCCTGGAGTAACCACGGCCTGGAGAAGGACTTGCCGCATGTGGGGCATTTGCAGGGTAGCGTGTGCGTCCGGATGTGCATTTTCAGCGCGCCCAGACTGACGTACACCTTCTGGCAGAACTTGCACGAGAACGACTTCCTCGCCTGGCCTTGGGCGGCCGTGCAGTGGAACTGCTGGTGCTTCGACAGCCCGGAATAAGTCGAGTACGATTTGTTGCAGTCCGCGCACAAGTACTTGGACGATGTCGCGCCTGAGGACGTGCTGGCGCCCGCGTTCGGGCTCTTCTCCATCTTCGCGTTCATGATGGTGGATCCCGCAGAGGTGCTACCCGCGGACGATCTGCCGCTCTCGCTGCCGGGCGACGAGAGATCTTCCGGCGAGACGGGGGGAGGAGACCGCAGAGAGCCGGAGCCTACGGAACTTGTGGGCGACAGGCCGCAGTGATCCGGGCTGGCCCAGTGCGAATAGCTCCTGGCGATCGGTCGCTGAATCGTCGGGCAGGTCAGTGCGCCGTGGGGCGGTGGCGAAACCGACGAGTGATGTTCCGGGGAGGAGTGCGGATACACCGGCACCGGGTACGACGAGTACAACTCCGCTCCGGGATAGCGATGATGATAGGCGGGCGGAGGATACGGCAGATAATGCGGCGAATAGAGCGGGGACGCGCGAGCCCACGCTGGAGTGGCGTAATGAGCCAATGGTTCCACCGGGGTGTTCAGATTCAGCGGTTCCAAGGGCGCCTTGCTGGCCATAAAATGCAACGGCGCTGACGGCGCTGTCACGGCCACCGTCGGCGTTGCCGAGGAGTCGTCATTGTGCTGCAGCACCTCGACTCGCGCCTTCCTCGCCACCGGGTGGATCGGCGCGATCCCCGCCGGCGGCGTGATAGTCTTGGTCGGGTAGTGATGGTGATAATGATGCAGCGGATGGACATGATGCATCGGATGATGAGTCGTCGACGAGGGCGATTGTATCGTCAAAGGTGGAGACGGCAGCGTTTTCATAGGCGACGGCGGCGTTCTGGACGCGCGCTCCTGCTGCTCTTGTTGCTGTTGTTGTTGCTGTTGTTGTTGCTGTTGTTGTTGTTGTTGTTGTTGTTGTTGTTGTTGATGATGATAATTATGACTGCGATCTGCAGTTCTGCTGAGATCCTCAGGTTTTGTACTGAGGTTTTCAGGTTCGGGAATATCGTCCATTCCTACGTCAATTATCTCCTCTGTAACAAACAAAAAATATGCGTTAAAATAACGAACGAGGCTCGAAAATTCAAAATAGTAAAAGAAATCAAATAACTTGTGCGGTTTTATAAAATAATGAAATTTATGAAAAGGTTCTCTGATATTTCAGTTTCAATGATTCAATTTTGTAAGATCGTAGAAATTTGCAAAACTATATCAATTTTATTGATTGCTTTAAAAAATAATTATTACACGTTGCCACTGCTTTATTTTTTGACTTTTACTTTTACTTTACATTTTTATCTTATATGATAATTTCGATTCGCGTGAAAGCAAAATGATAAATTCATGACACTCACCTTTAATAGCTTCAGGAGCTTCTTCTTCATCTTCGGACGTATAATAAATCGGCCGTTTCTTCAACGGGCAATTGCTGTAATTGTAATTGCTGTTCTTTTTCGCGAAGTTCTGCGACATCTCGTCAATCAGCATCTTGATACTGCGATATTGCCAAGGCACTTGGAATGTTTTTCTCGTAGATTCGCACGCTGCGAAGCCACTTACGCTTTTCTTAGTTTTCTTCTTCTTTTATTTATTGACACCGTGACATTGCGAAGGCACTTACAGCGTCCTCCTTCTTTTAGTTCTCCATCTATAGATCACTTACAACGCTAATCCAACAATCACACCTTCGCCAAACTCTCGATAATAATCCTTATACGACAATGTCACTGCACTATTATCTCACATAAGTTTAAAGGAGTCAAATACTTTCTCTTGCGGAAACAGCACTTTGATCTTTCTTTCAAGGAGAAATAAAAATCAATCTTCACTGTACGCTCGTCTGTATGCAACTAACTGATCAGTCAACGCGAATAGATCTCGAACTCGCGTAAAGGAAACAGTGGGAATATGCAACAGGAATCTACTGTGAACGTTTCGGCTGCAAGCCGGTCTCTGACTGGCAGGGGGTTGTGCGAGGGCCTCTTATAACAAGTACGCCCCACCAACCGATCGCAGGTGGCCCGCACGTGCTGCCAAGCCAATGCAGGCCCGCGGGCCCCTCGCTGCCTTCCAATGGGGGACGGACAGTCGCGGGCCGTCAGCCAATCGTTACCTGAGCATATGTTTCTCCGGTGAACCCCACCATCGCCAGGACGACGGGAGGTGCAGGATCTTCGTAAGTGCGACGCGATTGTCGGTCCTTCTTTTTTCCCTACCGCTACACTCGCCGCTTCTTTCTCCCGTTTCCCTCTCTCCCTCTCTCTCTCTCTCTTCTCTCTCTCTCTCTCCTCCTCCTCCTCTCTCTCTCTCTCTCCTCCTCTCTCTCTCTCTCTCTCTCACTCTTATACACGGCGAGTTGCAATGTGTGTATGTTATGTTGTTCCGTACAGAGCAGATGCTGTGACCCTTCTTAGGAGTTTCCCCCCTCCATACGCATACATATATACATATCAAAGAGTCGCGCTCTCGCACACACGCGTGTGTATGGATACATTAGACCCCCTCCCGCGAGAGCGCGGCGACTCGCGTTTTTTATTCGAATTTCCGTTCGGCCTACCTGAACTCCGCGCCGTTCTTCCTCTCGCTCTTTGTACGAGAGTAGTTGTCGCGTTGGCTGTTTTGTATCCCTACCTGATATACGCGCACCGCGTTCGCCGAGTACGTTTGTGAACGCGTATATATGCGGTGTATACCCGCCTCTTGTTCCCCTTCTGAATTTCACCCCCTCTTCCGCGTCGACCCACGGTGCCAGTTCCGAACGTAACGGTCGTGTCGCGTGCCACAGCATCGCCCACGCGCACTGGAAACCTACACGCACGCGTGCATTCGTAAGCTTGTACGCGCGGCGGAGTGCGTCAGCTCGCGCTCCGTTTGCGGAAGCGTCTTACCCTCCGTACGCGAACGACAGATTCACGTTAGATCGCCTGTCATTTTTGCGCGAAGGAAGAAACACGCGGCAGTCCGCCACGTGGCGGACGAGAAAAGACGAAACGCCCACGTTTCGCTCTTCCCCTCCGATTTCGGGAGAAACCTCTTCGGTTTCTATCGATCAGCTCGCAAACCGCTCCTTTTCTTCCTTCTGCGACTTACGCGTGAGCCGCAAAGATGAATAAGAGAGAGATTAAAAAAGTTATAAAGTCTTTTTCTGCTCAGCTTCTTTATGATGCCATAAATTAGTATAATACTGTGTTGTTAAGTAATTTAATACGTATTTCATGAATTTATCGATACCGAGCAAGAAAAAATTTCAATCAAAAATAATCACTTTCTTAAACTTGATTTTAATGTCAATCTCATTAAGGAAATCCGTTTCGTATTAAGCATTACGAGGGCTAATGCCTTTTACTAGTATTTTTTTAGTATTTCTCTGAAATGAGATTCTAATACCTTCGGAATGTAACTGATTCACACATAACATTCCAAAAATATGAGTTCCAACCTGCTGTTGCGTCGTAAAATGCAGATTCAATTTTCAAACAATAAATAAAGGGTTCAGAGGAAAAGTCTTTTTCTTCGTGTATAAATTTAAAAAAACTGAACAGTTTAAAAGTGAGTGTTATTTAAGTTTAATATTTAATGTTCAATATTTAAGTTAAAATAAAAAAAAACTATAGCACTTATGAAAAACAATGTACATGTTGCACACAATTAGAACAACTTTAACTTTAGAACTAATTTTCCAACAATTAACAAAAATGGACTTGATCCACTTTTCCTCTGAACCTCTCAAATAAATTATTATCGCAGACAAATTAATGCATGATTGCATGCTTTTAACAATATTATTATATATATTAGACCTTATTGCATGTACTTTGTATAAATTAAAATATTTTCAGAAACAAAATACTTGCGCCAGATGCATGAGACGCGACGAAACTTCAACGGCTTTTATGCAGATTCTGAAGTAGAACAATTTTTCGCGATTGTCATACGCGCGTCAGACGAGATTATCACCGTGAAATGAGATTATTCGAATCGACCGATCGCGAAACGATAGCCGGGGTAAGAGACCGGTATGGCCACGCGTCGCCAGAGAGAGCGAAGCGATTTTTGACGTAGGACCCTTGTACTTGTCGTCGTAAACAGCTTGTTCGCTTAACGCTTATTCTTCAGACTAGTTTGCTGGGCGCACGCACGACCGATCACTCCGTCGTATTATTTCGTAATAAAGGTGAAACACGCCAGACGCTAGAGAGGAAAGTGAGAGAGGAGAAGACGGAGACGGCACCATGCCTGCACGCCGGCAGAATTTCACGATAAAATCTCGGTAACCCGATACTCCTCTGACACGGTGTTATTAACCGTTTGTCTCAGCGGAATGGTCCTCGCTACCGTCGATATGTATTTACACTCATCTGCATTATAATATTAATGCCGCGCGCCACGCATTTCATTTCGCTTAACGACGCATTCTAAATGCGACGCGTTAAAGCGTGCGTTGAAAAAAAATCTTGCATCATTATTGCATTAGCAATAGCAACGGTGGCTACTGCGGCGCATTTCGCGATGCTATCGCTGGAAAATGCGATCGAGACTCGAGATTCTCGAATTAACATTCCGCACTTATATCGCACAAGCCAATTTATTCCATGCGACAATTTCATCAACAATAAGTTTCTGAATATAGATTGACCAGTGTCGGAAATAAATATTACAATACGAAAATTTTTCTTCAAGTGTAAATATTTTTCCAAAAATGTTCCACTGATTGCATTAATTAGACAGTCAAAAGCCTGACAGATCGAGTATTATTGTTGAGCGCGCGATCGACGTATTGATTGAAACGATCGGGCCAGCTGCCGTACACACTGTGAATTTACGATCGTTAGCTGTGACAGAGAGTTCGATTCGCTCGCTGATAAAGCGGAGCAGCCACGATCCCGAAGAAACTATCCGCTAGCAGCGGAACGGCGGCGCGGATCAGCCGCGTTCCTGCTCCCTATACCTGCCGCCCCGCTTATCTTATCGACACCCACGAATACAACGTCGCGTGTATATTGAATGCGTGCCGATGCACGCCTGACATGACCGCCGATCAAAGGGAATGCAATAGGCGCGCGCGCGCACGCACGGACTTTAGACAGATCGCAACCTCGTTAATTTGAAGATCGGATTGTGTCATTCGACACCTTCCGCAGAACAATGCGAAATGAATCTGGTACATTTTATTATTTTCATATTAAATAAACTATGGCATTTAAGAAAAGTTTATGTTTATACTTTGATTATTGCAGAATCTAATGCTTATAAAAAAAAAAAATGTATGCACGCGGCACACGTTTCTCAGCGTTTCCTTGACTCAATTCCAATGATGAATACGTTTAATTTGCAATCTGCGACGGTCGTGCGGCCTACCTGCCGATGCACCACATTAAAAGCCACAATCCTCTCTCGCGTAAATATGCGCGAAG